TGACCAAGTCTAAGTCCAGAGAAGATGATGAGGCAGGGGTAAGATGAGGTGGACCAACACTGAGGATTGGTGTGAAATTCAGGTTGGGTGTGGAGTAGACCATCAAACTAAGATTAGGGGAAAAACTGAAGTCAATTCAGATACAGTCACGGTTGTAGCCTAAGTCAAGGGCCAGGTACATACTAGAATCACAAAGTAAAGGACAGAATCTAGGCAGGATGCAGGCTGAAGGCAAACAATGCAAAATAGAGGTCAGAGTCAAGGTTACTGTCCTCATTACCAGTGACATAGTCAAGTTTGGAGTTGCAAGGTAAGGATTGGAGACCAGGTTAAAATTGAAATCAGCATAAAGTTGAACACTGAACCGTGTCAGAGAATCACAGTCTATGTCTACGATGATCAGTTCTGGACCAGGTCAAGACTTAAATGCATATCAGGATTAAGCTTGATGTAATTAATAAGATGGTCAAGGGGCTGGGGTTAACCTCACTGGTAAAGCATGTGATTAACAAAACAAGTTGGAGATCAAGGTCAGTGCAAAAGTCAAAGGTGAGGGCAAGAACTAGGTTACAGCTGTAATCATTTAAAACAGCTCCTAGGCTCTACCCGCTGCCCTCCACCCCGTAGCCTCACCATGGCAGTGATCTCATTAAAGGACTGCAGGTTCTCCACGATGCGAGACTTATGTGCCGGTTCCACACGGGCAAAGCAGCGGGCGGTGCGGCAAGCGTGGCGCTGCTGCTCTGGGCTGAGGTCATCAAATTCACGGCCCGTGTAGGCCTTGCCCACCACATCTTCTGTGTCCCCAAAGATGCCAAGTCGACGGCAGATGGCTACAGCTGTGCCTTTGTTGTCTCCTGTGATCATGACGACTCGAATGCCCGCCCGGGAGCAGCGTGTGATACATGCAGCCACCTCTGGTCTCGGTGGGTCTAACATGCCCACACAGCCCACGAAGGTCAGGTCTGACTGTGGGGAGGGAGGCAGAGACAAGCACAGCCTGAGTCTATCCTTGACCTGGTGGATGCCTAGCCACTACAAGAAGAACCCCGCTCTCAGCACCCACCTCGTACTGTACAAACTGGCTGCAGTCATCCAATCGCATGTCCTCTTTCCTTGGGGGTGTGTCCCTGGTGGCCAATGCCAAGCATCGCAATGTGTCAGAGCCCGAGCCCCAGTCACGGATCGTGGCCAGAATATGTTCTCTGGAGGTGGTGTTCAGGGGTGCTGTTCGGCTACCCACTCGGACTGAGCTACAGCGCTCGATTACACTCTCAGGAGCTCCCTGCAAGAAGGCAGGGGAAAAGAGTCAACTCTACCAGCCAGGACCCTGGCCGTCCTTGCGGCTCAGCAGAGGAAACTGCAAGCCACTATGGAGAAAGGCCAACTAAGAGCTCATACAGGAGACAAGGACCATTCTCTGTAAGCTCAGAGGGAGAACCTGGTGGACCTCACTGTGAGAAAACCTGAAGGCAGGTGAGGTCACTGGCACCCACTGGGTGGACCCGCCTCTACCAGCCCACAACTGAGATGGCTTGCTGCAACATTTGGAGGTCTGTTTGGGATCTGCATCTCCCATGGGAATCTGTGCCCCTCCCTGCTTGCCTGGTGCCACTGGAATCCCCACTTCATAAGGGCGCCACAGCAGATAGGCATACTGAGGCCCACCAGGGCACTAGAAAGACAGGCATGCAGTTTGGCACGTGTGACCCTGGCAAGGTGGCTTTTGGTGGAGGGGTGATTAACTCCTCAGTTTCATCAGGGTCTCACTGGGGGCCTAAGATTGGTTTCTGGCTAGCCCATCAGTGGCCTCTTCCTCTCTCACTTAGCCTAAAAACCCAGGGACTACCTTCTCTAAGTAGCCAGGGTTCCCAGGATGGAAGCCCTGTCATTTCACGGGCACTAAGACCTCCACTGTAGGATGAAGTTAGAGATGGGATCCTTCTGTTGGGTTTGAAAGCAACCCTGGAGAGCTGAGATGGGAGCTCTGCTTTCCCTTCCCAGGTTTCGGCTTCCAAAAACGAGGAGCACCATCCACATCACCACCAGAAATCAGAGGCAAAAGGGCTTCTGAGAGCTTAGAGACCAGAGAGGAGCACCGATGACCCCCAAGTCCCGTGTCAAGACAGTAACCCTCAGGCAAGAACTAGAGACCATGGTCCCTTAGTCACTGGATGCTGATCTGAGTTCCCTAATGCATGTTGTCAACCTCACTCCAGAGCCATCACTTTGACAATGGGCCTCACGGCTCCCTGGGCCTCCCCATAGCTGCAGTGTGTGGGGCTTTTATTTGTTTGGGTTTTTGTTCATCTCTTTCCCTTCCCTTCCCTTCCCTTCCCTTCCCTTCCCTTCCCTTCCCTTCCCTTCCCTTCCCTTCCCTTCATTTCCCTTCCTTCCTCTTCCTCTTTCTTTCTTTCTTTCTTTCTTTCTTTCTTTCTTTCTCTCCCCCCTTCCTCCCTCCCTCCTCCCCTGTCTTTTTTTGAGATAGGGTCTCATGTAGCCCAGAATCATGAACTCAAACTCACTTTTGTAGCAGACCCTCCTATCTCTACTTCCTCAGGTGCTGAGATTCTAAACATATGCCTCTATACCTGGTTTATGTCATTCTGGGGAACAAACTTATGACCCCATGAACTCTAGGCAAACACTCTACCAACTGAGCTATATCCCCAGTCCCTTAAACTTCAAATTATGACAAGAACTCGAGGGTGAACTCCTTCCGCATGAGTTGCTTGATGACCTGCAGGGTCCAGGCGAGCAGGTAAGGGCATGAAGGACAAAGTTGGCAACTCTTGCCTGCTTCTCACTAGCCACTCAGGAGAAAATTGACTTCTTATTTCTTGTGGCCTACTATCTGTACTCCTCTGACTCTAACATTCAAGGTTCCTACCTTCTCCCAGAACGTGTTCACTTCACAAGTGGAAGCCTGTGCCTACACCCAACCTTTATCTCCCTCTGCTCCACAGATTCTACTTTCAAGGTGCTTGAAGTCCCCATTCTTCCTTGAAGTCCCCCAAGCCTATGCTTTTGTCTTTCGAATCCACAGACACTCCAGAACTCCTGGCTATACAGCCAAGGCTAAGCCACATTCTACTCACCGAGTTGCAGGCGCCCGCGCGCTCCACCCGGGACAGTCCGGGACAGTGTTTTCAGGTCCGTGTCAAAGACGTTCATCTTCTCCACTAGGCAAGTCAGGGCTGTCTCTGTGGCCTCACCTACCTTCTCATACACGCCCTTGGCCTGGAGGGTCACAGTGCATAGGGGGTGAGGGCCTCCTGCCATCTTTACTTAACTAATTTTGAGATAGGGTCTGGCTATGAGCTCAGGATGGCCTCAAATTCACAACTGCCTCAGCCTCCCAAGTGCTGGGATTCTATGAGTACTTCAGCCCACAGGGCTTCCAGGTCTTTCTTGCTGAACCTCAACCCTGCTCCTTCACCGCATAGGGCTCCCAGGCCCGTGTATTATTATCAGTCTGTGCTATTGCACACACACATCTTTTGGAGAGGCAATGTGGTCACACCAGTCCCCCGCTCAAAACCCTTTGGTGGCTCCCTGCTTGCCCTTGGCTTGGCATGGGAGCTGACTTGGTCTGGCTAAGGGTTCCTGGAAGGCTGGAGTCTCCTCCTGTATGTTCCATTCCTCTGCTCCAGCCACACAAATGGCATTCAATGTGTGTCACCTCTAGCTTTTGCAGAATGAGCCTTTCTCATGTCATGCCTTCTGCTTTAAATGTCCACTCTTGTCCTGTCCCCCACCCAATGTCTTCCCAAAGCACCCCGGCCTTCCAGCCTCTCACATGGCAGCCTCTCAGGGGGCAAGGTTAGCAAGCAATCTGTGCAGAATGAGGAGGAGGTTAGGAGGGTGTGCAGGGGTGACCATGCTCCTGGAGTGTGGCCCTCTGAAGCAGCAAGGAACACCAACCTGAAACAGTGAGACTGGGCAAAGGAGAAGGGTCTGTCCTGGGAAATGGAACCTAGGGGGGCCGTGAAAAGGAGTGGGGGCCCACCTCATTGTAGTCCAGTGCTGAATCATTGCAAAGGGCACAGATGGTCTCTAGCACCAAAAGTCCATCAAACTGCCCACAGTGCACGGGCTGCTCCCCTTGTCGCCTGAGAGAGAAAGCGGTCAGCACAGGGCCTGGCCCCGCCCTGAAAGGTGTCCTTCGTTGACCCCTCTCCCCCAGGAAACCACTCCCACGGACCCCCCTGGTGTCTTGACCTCACCATACCCTCGCTCCCACACTCACACTTCGCCCTCAGGGGTATACGTGGTACCCGAGATGGTGAATTCATGCAAACGACAGGAGCCTGCCTCTGCTTCAGCTACCACAAACATCTGTGAACACAAGGGCGGGCTCAGGCTGCTGTGGCTTCCTCTCTCTCTGCCATCAGCTTAAAAAAAGTCTGACCCAGGAGGATGTATGTGGCACCCTCCACAGAGTCATTGAAGGGCCTTCCTTCCCCACTAGAGTGAAGAAGTGAGCCCAGGCCAGGCCCAGGCTAGGCACCCTGAGACTTTGCTGTGCCCAGTGGCATCTAGCTCTCACTGGCCATTTGCTCAGGACTCCTGAGGGTTCTGTGGCCCATTCCTCAATGCACGAGATGGCTGACAACATGACAGGGCCCTGAGTTGAGCAGGATACCTGGACCCTTGTCCATCTCTGTGTGACCCCCTTTTCAGCATCTAAGCTTCAGTTTCTCTACCAGTAACATGGGTCATCCAGCCCCTACCTGCACTTTTCCTACCAGGGCAGCCCATTTCCTAGTCCATCAGTCAGCTGCAACAAGTTCCTACAGCTCATTCTCAAGCCAATGGACACCCTAGCATCTTGAAGCCTAGCATTCCAAACTATCCCTTCCTTCTTGTCCTCTCTGTTCTGGGGTGGTCTTCCAACAAGCACAGTCCATTACCCAGCATGCTCAGCTACTGCCACTTCCCCATACCATGCTCCTTGCATTTTTTATTTTAGTCAAGGAATACTGAACAAGTAAAATTTCAACAAGGGATTTCAACAAGACAGAGAGGATTCTGGACAGCAGAGCTTGCCCACACCTCTCCCCTACATCAGGCTCTGATGTACTTCCATGGGACTGTAAGGTCTCAAGAGTCCTAAGCTAGTCCCTAGGGCCTACTGGGAAGACTGTGGAAGCAGAGGCAGAAGGGCATGACAGGTGGCTGAGAAGGTGTGAAACCTACAGGATGGTGTCACCATCCCCCCAGCTATCTCTCTGCTGAGCCAGAATGGGCCTTTGTCCCTTGGAATTCCAGTCAGAATCCCTGGAACATGTACATAGTGGACCCAGGATGTAGGATCAAGTGCCCTGGAATGAATAATTGCTGCCCTAGTCCTTCCCAGACAACTGGAGCCAGCATATCTGGTGACAGGCATCAGGTAAACAGTCAAGACAGAGAAGGATAGAACCTGGGTCCAATGACATGGGGACTGTACTTGACCCTCTTTTGGATCCCTAGGTTTTAGATGAGGAGACTAAAGTCCATAGACTGGAAACGACCTGCCCAGGACACTGCAGTGACACTGGTCCCCAGTGATGTATCTAGACAGGGACTGATAACAGTCTGTTTTATACATGCAAGACCCCAGTCTGATGCTCCCCACTGCCAATGGACAGACACCACAGGTTCTCCATCCCTTACCAACCCAGCTGCCCGGCATCACCTAACCCCAGTGGTCCCAACCCAGCTGTCACTCACCCTGCAGACAGACATCTGATTGGTGGTGAGTGTTCCTGTCTTGTCAGAGCAGATGACTGAAGTGCAGCCCAGGGTCTCCACAGAGGGCAGGCTCCGCACAATGGCATTCTTACGTGCCATACGCCTTGTGCCCAGTGCCAGGCATGTAGTGATGACTGCTGGGAGGCCCTCGGGGATAGCAGCCACAGCCAGGGCCACGGCAATCTTGAAGTAATAGACTGCACCCCGGAGCCATGATCCACCGTGGGCTGGGTCAGCAAAGTGGCCGATGTTGATGACCCATACAGCCACACAGATCACTGAGATGGCATGGGACAGCTGCCTCCCAAACTCATCCAGCTTGCGTTGCAGTGGTGTCCTCTCAGGCTCCACAGCTGCCATCTGGCTCCGAATCTTGCCTAGCTCTGTGTGCAGGCCTATGGCTACAGCCCCCCCC